ACAACCACCATTCTTGCCATAAACTTTGGTACGACTGATATAGATGGAGAACTAAACTCTGTGAAACCGTCTCAAATACTGGCTTTTGTAATAACCCTGAGACTGTATGATGAATTACAACTCAAGAAAGACAGACACAAATCTATAAGGTCGCGGTGATAACTTCCACCCTACCAACAATCTACAAGTGTAAACTATATTTTTATAAATAAACCAATAAAATTACCTAAAAACAAAGACGGCCGACGCATTACGGATGCATGTAAACACACACTTACCTATAAATGTTTTTTTACTTAAATTTTATCATTAACAGTTCCCGAGTTCTAGTCGACGTCATCTATTATTGAATTTTCTTGGTCATTACTGAAACTTTATGTTGTTTTGCAGTTGCACAACGGTCACCAATTAGCCGACTGGTGCATGAACAACTTGTGCGTCAACTACAACAAGCTGTGCCGCATGTCGCCGCGCAGCTTGCGACTGCTGCACCCCGACAACCAGGCGTATTTGGTGGAGCACCGGTGGCCGCCCGTATGGTACCTCAAAGACTTCGACTACTATCAGAAATGCCTGGCCGAACGCGACAAGGAACTGAAACCGAACGAGAAGAACGGCTCGAGTTGTCTCTGTTTTTCGCGCAAGTCCGAGTCCGATCCTGCCCTATCTTCAAGCAATCTTTGATACTTTTAGGTTCCTCAAAGGCCGAGGTCCCAGACTTTTCAGGGATGATGGATAAAGAGATAAAAGTATGTGTTTATTCATTAGATCTGTCCATAAAAAAGTGTAATTTTCTGTCTCAGTTTTGTTCTGCTTTAGCTGTTTAATTGTTTGGAAAAATTGATCTTTTTTATTTTTTATCCCAGCAACATTACTTAACATAAGTCAGTTCAGCGAAGTAATGTATGACATTAGTGACAGTTGTCTGGTATTTGTGTTAAGGTGTAGATTTTTTATCATATTTTAGAAAGCCTTCTATTCTCTTACTGGATAGACTATAGTTGATATTTCCTATATACTGGGTGAGTCTTACACAAGTGCAAATATTTTCAGGGCTTTTAGGTCTCGATAAAAGAAACATATTTTCTCTTTACCGTTTTTCAAGTAAGTCCAAAATAACCGAGTTATTTTACTTTAGATATTTAAATTTATTTAAATATTGATAACCACTATGTCTTTTCTGGGTTTTCTTTCTTGTATTAAGTGTACTACCCAAGAACAGTTAACCTAATAGGACTGCTCATTCAGCCAAAAGTGTCTGCCAGGTGCATGCGAAAACTCCTCGCTTTGTGACGTCATTGTAGTCCTTGTCATGGTTATTAGTCCTTATCCGGCAACTAATAATACACACACGTGCATTATTGGTTGCCGGATTCAAAACGTTCATTATTTAGTTTATTTATTTAAACACCTTATATGTATGCAGTATAGAAAATTAACTGTATAAATCGTATTAAATACTCGGATAATGCATTTTTAAGAACGGCAGATCCCAGCATCACCTTTTGCAGGCGTTCTTTTTAGAGTACTTCCATATTTTGCTTTAAAATAATTAATAAACAATATCGTAGGCACTTAGTAAGCACTTTGCCACAATCCACAACACAAAATGAACGTATTTATACACTCTATAGCTCTAAAAACTTTAAAAACACCTTTTTCACATTTAAAATTGACAAAATAATTAACTCAAAATTTCTCAGCTGTTGTTTTTATAAGTTTACCATAGGCAACTAATAATACACACTATCATGACAAGGACTACAAAGACGTCACAACTGTCAGCTGAAGTGCGGGAAGAGGCGAACGTACGTCGTACGTCTTATGAGGATGACCAATCCTATTAGTTTACCATTCTTGTGTACTACCTACGTTGCCATATTATCAAGAAATTATGATTTTTTAATAAAAACTAAAAAAAAAATCCAATTTTTTTTTTCAAGAAATCCCAAATTTTCATGTTTTTTTTTCGCGAAAAAAACATGATAATCGTGTTTTTGGGGTCGAAATATACTACCCCTAAAATATTTGCACTTATTTAAGAGGTATATTGTACTCTTAAGTTAAACATAGCAGTACAATTTTAATTATGAATCCACTCATATTTTTCAAAGTTATTATGTAATAGTTTAACTGATTTGATGACTGATATATTTATTTGTAGTTTTCAATTATCCCAATGGTTAACATTTAGCTATTAACAAAATAAAAATAAAGGGAAATGAAACACTAATAATTCACCACAGGTATTGCGGTAAATTAAATGTTTTATTTTGCTTTTGTAACAGCATAGGTTCCAACCATGGGTTCCAACCACCAACTATATTATTAACAAAATAATTCTTTATTATTCATGAGTGTTTCAAAGTAGAAATAATAACTAAATAGTAATTTTTGGTATTTTGTATTGTATAGTTTGTCTCTTATTAAATACAAGAAATATAAAACAACATTCTAATATAAAAGATTTTTCAAAAAATAATTCTTAGAAATAAGTTTTATTTTTCTTAAAAGTAATATAATCAACAGTCTTAAGTAGAACAAAATTGAAATACCTGTTTGTTATCTACTTGGTGATATTTTTTTTATTATTATATAGTAATTTCTATTTCCAACAGTTTCTTTTATTTTATATACCATCTTCAGAGATACATATGCCCTCGATCGAAAAAAACCATATCCATATGGATCGAAAAAAAACTGCGTCTAGTAGCCTAGAAATGATGATTGATGCTACCATAAATTTTACATATGAAATGTAGGTAACTTGACGTCGTTTTTTTTTATCTTATATGGTATGTGACCTAGGATAAGTAGAATTGTAAAATTAAGAACCTTTTTAAAATGGTTCATTATTAGTATTTTTAATAAGCTTCCTAAAAATTGTATGATTTTAAAAAACTTCAACTGATATAATTTCGCTGTCAATCTGACATAATTTCTGAGCCCGAGTGGTACAATAATATGTACTGTTGGCATGTCTCTCACTGAAATTGGAATTGCATGAATAGTATATAATATTTGATATTTATTAGTTTTTTTTTATAAATCTTGGAAGATCATACTTCAATTATTATAATTGAATTTTTATGTCGGATAAAATGAAAGAAACTGTAAAAATTAAATTAAACACTTCTCTTACTATAAAAAGCATGTCAATTAAAAGAAATACTGAAATTGTAGATATCTAAAGCTTATTCTGTTTATGTTTGGCCATAAATAAAACCTTAAACCCTTGAAAAAAGTTACTTGTCCCTATGATACACCATATAATATTATGCACCTAATATATAACGCCCTTTACTATCCAAATGTAAAAAATAAAAGTATTGTATGATTCATGAAAAAAAAACGGCGTCTATGTTACCTTAGAAATCACGATCGACGACATTCAGTTAATAAAATTAGATCGATCGTCATTTTGTAAGGTAACTTGATGGCATATTTTGGATCATACTGTATTTTACTTATCTACAAGATTAAATTATGCTGTTATATCATAACACTTCAGTATTAAATCTTCAGTATTCTTCTGGCCGAATTGTTATTTAATTTGTAATAGTGTTTTGGAAGATTATTCATACTTAATTGTTCCTATTTTTCAACTTTTATCTTAGTACTTGTGATTTAGGAAAATCCTTAAAAAGACTGAAGGTAAGAAAACGGATAAGCAAATATATCAACTGGTGTTTAAATTATATTATGTTATCTGTTAGGCCAGTAAGCGAGGGTTTTAGGGTCCGAATTTTGAACACCTGCACCGATTGACGTGAAATTTTAACAGTGAATAGAGATATATGTAAGAAAAAAAGTTTCACCCCCCATATTTCTTGCCAATTTTTATAAATAACTCGAAAACGTTGCGTTTTATCGCAAAACTCATATAAAGCAAAAATGAAGCTTTTAGAATAACTAATCGATCCATTTTTTGTTGATTGCCGTAGGTGTAATAATGTAATTAAAAAGGCACTTTAAAAACGATCATATTCATTTTCTTCGAAAAATGTGTTCTTTCGTCATTATTTTACGGTAAAGGGTTGCAATTTAGTTTTCGAAAAATAAAGAATCAAGTTTACAGAGTGATAACTCGGTTATTATTACATCTAAGGTAAACAACAAAAAACGAATCGATTCGTTATTCCAAAAGCTTCATTTTTGCTTTATATGAGTTTTGCGATAAAACGCAAGATTTTTGAGTTATTTATATAAAATTGCAGAAAAATATGCAGTTTTTAGATGAAAAATCAACATTTTCAATCCTAAATAACTCGGAAAATATTAATTTTCTGAAAAAAATGTTATGGAACATTTTATGCTTAGAATTCATCCCTTTATTGATTTTTGTAATTAAAATAGGTGATTTATTTTTCACCCCCGAGAAGGGGTGGCACTCACCCCCAGGGTGAAAGCACACATCGCTACTATGTAACTTTTGTTTCTTACATATATCTCTATTCTCTATTCATTGTTAAAATTTCACGTCAATCGGAGGTAATACCCTATTTTTATCCTTGCTTACTGGCCTATGTTGAATATGTTATTTAATAAATCTTAAAGCTGTTACATAGCTTTATTTGTAATATATAGATTAGCTCAATATGCACATAAATGACAAGGTGGATATTACAGGGACTAAAAATATGATTATCTTTATTTACGTATTTGAATTGTATTAGCCAAACATATACTTTTTTATGCATGATCCCTATCGTCTCAAAAAGACTGTATGATGGTGCATAATCTTGGACCTCGTTCAAACCATAATTAATCATTTATTAACTATCTAGTGGATACTTTGTGCCCAATAAGTAGACTTATTTTTAGTAGAAAATATTTTGGCTGACATGTATGGTTGCAGGCAGTTACTACTCCCAAGCAGATCACTTTATTTTGGAATACTCCAATAGAAAGAGAAAGTTCACGTGAACAGGTCTTTAGTTTTTAATTCACAGTCACAAAATTACCTAACCATACAGAAGCGACACAGGGCGATTTTTTGATTTTTTCTTGATTTTTCTAGAGATATTTTTATATTCTGCATAGAAATCAAAATTTAAATTTCTGAAATAATTGAAACTAAAGTTATGAGAATTTGTTTCTCCTTTTATTTTTTTAAGGACAGACGATTAATATTGGTTAGTATTTCTCGTTTTATATATACCTTTTAATTACTTTCAAAAAATGTTATTTTAAATTGTATTCATTTAAATTTATTAAAAAATAATACGTCACAATAAACTAAGAGCTAGATGTATAAAGAAACCATTTTCTCAGCCTATTTAAACAAAAATATTTTTTCTAGACATTTTTTTCGGTGTACATAATATGTGACTTCAAGGTCATATAGTTTGGGATACATACTTCAAAGAAGCCGACGCTACTGTCGCTTCTGTATATTATGTAAGGTATTCAATGAATAAAATATTTATTATGCTATTATAGTATTTCAGAAGTGAATTGGAACTACTGAGGCTCTTAAGTCCTTTGAACAGACGATGTCGACAATGACAGTGCCGTAATTAAGAGTCTCAATCTGTTCCAATTGACTTCAGAAAAACTATAATTATCTAGAGATCGGTTAACCAACTTCTCTTCAATATGTGCACTGTTTTGTATTGTCATTGAAAGTATAACTATAAATATACCTAAGTTAATTTCAATGTAAGTTTCATAAAAAAACTAAAACAATCAAACATTTTTATATTGCATATTTTCTTCATAATCACAAATTTCTTGTCAATATAGAAGTTTAATATTGGTCTATGAAAATTAATTTGCATATCAAAGCTAGTTTCTAATAAAATATTTTTATGACACACCATACACCTAATTATAGGTATTTTTATATTATATTTTTTTAGGCATAATATGACAAAGACGAATTGTGTAGCTAAAACTACCAATAGTATGAAGCTTATTTTAAATATACTGGTAGACCATTGAAACTTATATTGGAGAATGAATAAATTATTAGTCTTTGTAGACACAGAATGAAAATTTAGCGCAGCCGCTATTTTTTTCTCATGATCTCGCATTAGACATAAGATCAAGATAAAGTGATCTTTAAATATTGAATGTCAGGTATCTATATCTACCTTTTGGACAACCAAATCTTTTTATAACATCTACTTTAATAAATCACTTTATTCTAACTGATTTTTTTTATTTTCCCTATCCTTTTTTTTATAAATATTTTAACATAGCTTGGATTAAGTATAATGAAAAATACAGTGCACCTCAATAATGTAACTGAAAGTTAGTTATCTATCTCAATGAAAATCTCGAATAGGAAAAGTTGTTGCAATTTGTTTCAGATTTCATTAAAATTAATTCTAATATACAATTAAGAACAATAATTCCAAGATGTGTTTTTTATAAAATGTATTTAATAATTCTTTAAAAAATAAAACTCTTATAATGCTACAGCTAAATTAGTTAGTTCTTCTTTCAATTCATTGAATGGTTCTGCATATTCATCATTAGGCCTGATTAATACTGTAAGACAGCCTCTTTTCACACCCATCGCAGCACCGAGGTCTTTTCTACTAGGTGTATAAACATATGGAATATTTTTGTCTTCACAGACTCCAGGTAAATGGCACATAATATCCAAAGGAGTAACATCACCAGCAAAAATGACTATACCAGATTCCCCTTTGCGGATCCTTGTCTGTACGTCCTTCAACCCACATCTTATATATGTTTTATGTTTTACAGCTAAAGAGAAGATATTTTACTGTTAAGAAATATAATTATTATAGTTATTATTCCTACAATTACCTTTCTTAATTAACTTATAACATCGCTTAGCTAATTTCTTTGATGCCATGGGTTTAGCGATTACATTACAGTTTGCCACTTTTTCCTCATAGGATAGTTCTTCAGACTGTATAGTAATATCGCCTTCCGTAATACTATCTTCAGTGCCCGTTTCACTTCTTCCCATCTTTAAATTAAGTAACACACGTGAATAACAATCGAAATGTAATCAACAACAAAATTATAAGGTTAGTTTCAAAATTGACGTTTTATCTATTCTTCCTTTCCGTTTAGCGGCCTTCAGCTACGACTCTATGGCCTGTGTTTTTTACTCTCGTTAAGTAGTTTGGTTTTACGGCCAAAGCTCGGGACTATCCGGCCGTTACGCTATTACTTAAAGAAAGCCAAAAATACATAAGTAGTATTATAAGGAGTTATGGAGAGTAGTTAGAGATATATTTTTTATATGAAAGGGAAGAAAATATCATTTTTTTTTGAAAGCCGAATAGCCCTCGCTGTTCAGGCCGTAAAAATCTTCTTTATAATGGTCACATGTCTTTTTCACAACTAGTCCATAGAATAAAAAGAAGAGATTCTGTAGCGGCCGTATAGTCCTGGCAGCTAGGCCTTAGAAAGAGAATTCTGTAGACCTTTGCTGTAGACGAAAACAGTAACCTCTATTTTTATTTGAAATGCGAGAAAGCCACATTTATTTTTATTTTAAAATAAATAAAGTGTAATAATATGGCAAAGAATAAAATAAGTAGGTTTAAAGGTAATAATTGTGATGATGCATATTCAAAATGTTTAATTTTACAGAGAAACAGTCTAAACGACAACCGGCAAGACTACGATATAGGATTCAGAAAAAAGTAAGAGATCATAATAAAAAGTTGCGAAGGGAAGCGAAGAAAAATCCTAAGAGAAACAAACCAAAAATAATACAAGTTCCAAATATATGCCCCTTCAAAGAAGACATTTTAAAAGAGGTAGACAAGTTAAAGAAGCAAAAAGAAGAGGAAAAGCTAAAGTTAAAAGAAGCCGCTAAATTAGAGAAACAAAAAGAAAAAGAAAACTTAAAAAAGGGTGGATTAACTGCATTGGTATATAATTTCGTAAAATAGGTATCTATTAATTAAATTTTATGTCATTTTTTAAGGTATCAAATGCAACAGTAAGGGATAAATTATATGAAACACTTACACCAACTTCGGTTGATAAGGAATATAATAAAAATACTGAACAGTCCTTAAAGCAATATTATAAGGAATTCAAGAAGGTCATTGAAGCTGCTGATGTTATTTTAGAAATTGTAGATGCTAGAGATCCTTTGGGCACACGTTGCAAACAAGTCGAGGAAGCTATAAATAAATTACAAAACAACAAAAGATTGGTTCTAGTATTGAACAAAGCTGATCTTGTTCCTCGTGATATTCTAGATAAATGGTTAAAATATTTAAAGAAAATGACCCCAGTGGTAGCGTTTAAAGCTTCTGTTCAAAATCAAAACAGAAATTTGGGACAGAGAAAGTTTAATAAATCCGATAAAGGTTTACAAGGATCAGCTTCAGTTGGCGCTGAAATGATAATGTCATTGTTATCAAATTATTGTAGAAATAAAGGGATCAAGACTTCTATCACTGTTGGTGTAGTAGGTTTACCTAATGTTGGAAAAAGCTCGGTTATTAATAGTTTGAAGAGATCTCGTGTTTGTAATGTAGGTGCAAGTCCAGGTATAACAAAGTAAGCATACTCACAATAAGCTACTATTCTAGTTTAAATTGTCAAATTTTATATTTTAGAGCAACACAAGCTGTTCAATTGGATTCAAAAATTAAACTTTTGGACTCTCCTGGAATAGTGTTTGCAGCCGGGAATGACAGTCATGCAGCTCTAAGAAATGTTGTTAAGATATCAGGAATAACTGACTTTGTTACCCCTGCTAATGCAATTTTACAGAGGGTATCAAAACAACAAATGATGGACATGTATGATATAACTGAATATAACTCACCAGAGGTTTGATTGATAATTTTGTTTTTACTCTGTTTTATTCTGACAATGTTTTACAGGAATTTTATAGTTTAAAAGCTACAAGAACTGGTAAATTTAAAAAAGGTGGAGTACCAGACTTGGCTGCAGCTGCAAGAAGTTTACTTGAGGACTGGAACAGGTAGAAAAGTTATCTCGGGTGTTTAAATAAAATTTATTTGGATAAAAATGTTCTAGTGGCAAAATCTCTTATTATACAGTACCACCTGAAGCAGAGTCAGATAGTGTATATAAGATAGTTTCAGAGGTAGGAAAGGAATTTGATATAGATAACTTTGAAACAATGGAAACAGAGATGTTGGATAAAATACAAAGTGAATCAAGTGTTCAAAAAAGTAAGTTTATTACTCTAGACAGTTTGGGACCAGTGGATGCAGTAGAAGATATGGAAGAAGATATAGACAGCAATGATTTGGTAAAATACGTGTATATTTCATAAAACGATTGCTATAATAATTTTTTTTAGTTGAACAAAAATATAAATGTAAAAAATAAGGAGAAAACTAAACAAGTTAAAGAAAATACAAGAGAAAAAAAGGTTGATCCTGAAATGCTTCTAGAGGGAAATTTAAAATTGAATCAAGTCAGGAAAAATCAATTTAAGAAAGAGAAGAAACAAAGAGGTAGAAGAGAAAAGGTTGCACAGCAATTATCTGCAGGTTTAGAAAACTTTAGTCTTGGTTCGGATTCTAAAGAAGATTATGATTTTAATGAGGATTTTAAAATGTCTTAATATTATAAGAGCAAAAATATCTATAAATACAGATAATATAAAAATACTAGAGAAGTGTTTGTAATCTTTATATTATTAAACAAGATATAATTTTATTTTGTATTTTTTAACACATGGTTGAGAAAATAAATGATTAATAGGACCTACTATTATTGTATCTCGTTTATTTTTTATAAAACTATATCTGCTATATTTTTATAAAAGGCTATATTTGGTATTTGTAGTAATTAATTATATCTATCTAAACATTTATTGGATTTTTTTAAGATTTTATGAATCAATAATAATTTAAACACTTTTATGAAGTTAAAATTCCTTAATCCGCCTTTAAAATAAACAATTACAAACTGATAATAGCAGAAAACTTACTGTATTCTATAAAACCACTCTTTACCGAATTATACAGGGTGCTACAAATTCGAGGTACGAGCATTGGTATCTCGGTAACCGTAATAGATACAAACATGGTTAAATTGGGTCAAAGTTGCGCTTTGGGATGTTTACCAAGATGCCATCAAAAAAGTTTTAAAAATATCAAGGATTGCTGAGTTTTTTGGAAAAAACTGATTTTTTTTAAAATCAATTTTATTTTTTCGTGTTGTTACTTTTTAGAAAATCGAAAAACTAATTGCACATTCTCATAGCCACTTCATTAGGGCTATCTGATAGTATTTTTAGATTTTCAAATTACCTGATAATTTGTGAGATACAGAGGCCAACTTATTTTTTATAAATACGGACCTGTATTTTTTATTTCAGATTTTGAAAGAACTCTGTCTACCGAGTACAATGATATGCCACACTTAATATTTTTTTCTGTTTTGACATTTGAATACAATTTATTTAAACTAATTTCAAGTCCGGCTCTGTTTTTTTTTAATATTTAATCTATTCATCGTTACAATATTGATTAGCATTCAAACTTAACAATGACGTGGGGTAAAACATTGAATACGGAAAATCAAATGCAATAAAATAATTAATATAAATAAAATATAAACAATCAAATTATTTTCCCGGAAGATGGACTGGAAATGGTAGAGTAATATAATTTATACTGCTCTACCATTTCCAAGTATAATGTCCTGTACCTATCGCCAAGGGGCTACATTACTTGACGTCATTTGTAAAAGTAAAATGAATTCATCTCAATATTTACAATAAAGAGTACAAAATGCATTCGGAAGTACATAAGAAGAAAGTTCAAAGAGCTATAAATAAAATTGAACGAAAAATAAATTTGTGCAATAGGGAGGGTGGTAACGCTTTCGAACATGTAGAGCATTAGAAACTAGTTTGTGGAAGTTAATTTATTTATAATAACTACGATTAATATTATGCATATTATTAGCAGATTATTAGGTCGCACACTGAGATTTCAAATTCACAATAAAAAAAGTTAAAAATAATATCTTTAAATTTCTGACCTGGATATTATTTATTTGAATATTCCAATTGGCTCGATTTTCCTTATTCAATGTTAATTAGCGCTGATCAATGTTGCTGCGATGAATATAATAAGATTAAATAATTTAAGAAACCAGAGTCGGACTTGAATTTATTTTAAATATAATTAAATAGTTTTGTTGCTGTTAATGTAACCCAAAACAAAGAAAAGTATAAAGTGTGGCATATCATTGTATTCAGGAGACCGAGTTCTTTCAAAATCTGAAATAAAAAATGCAAGTCCGTATTTAAAAAAAATAAGTTGGCCTCTGTATTCCACAAATTATCAGCTAATTTGAAAATCTAAAAATACTGTCAGATAGCACTAATAAAGTGGCTATGAGAATGTGCAATTAGTTTTTTGATTTTCTAAAAAGTAACGACAGGAAAAAATAAAATTGATTTTCAAAATAATCAGTTTTTTTCCAAAAAACTCAGCAATCCTTGAAATTTTTAAAACTTTTTTGATGGCCCCTTGGTGAACATCCCAATACGCAACTTTAACCCAATTTAACCATGTTCGTATCTATTACGGTTACCGAGATACCAATGCTCGTACCTCGAATTTGTAGCACCCTGTATAAAACCAAAAACTAACTTGGCTAAACGCAAAATAATAAATAAAACATTCTCAAATATTTTGAATTAAAAAATGTCTATTAATATTTTGTGTGTATAAAAATATTCACAATTACTTTGTTATGTAATACTAAAGTTTTATTATTAAATTATCCTATACCATACGGTCGAAAAAAAAACGGTGCCATATTTGGCTTGCAATGACTATCAATGACATTTACCATATCATTTTAGATATATGAGTAAATGTAAAGATAGTCATTTCTAAGGAAACTTGACGCCGTTTTTTCTCTATTAAAGATATTTATAACGGTTCGGGTGGTTTAAAATCGGGCAGCACTTCCCAAACTTTTTCCCGCCATTTTCTTTTTCTTTCGTCCCTCGCCTTTTCAAGCTGTAGTACTGCTGGCAACGATTTCCACAAATAAAAATAATGAAACAACATCCGCCTAAAAACAATTTGAATATTTACAGTGTGTTTCAAAAACAAATATTTGAAACAGATGAACAATAAAACAGAATTTTTCTTTAATAGAAATAATTTTATATCTCAAGTGTAATTTACAAAAATGCCTTTAAAATACGAAAAAAGCGGTGTTAGATGATAGAATATCTAAAGACACCAATGAGAAGAGTTTTTCAAGATTTGTATAGGTTAATTTTCATACACACAGGGTGACAAGTTGAAAACGAACAGTACAGTACGTCTGTCCGTTCTGTAGCTACGGGGTATACGTGAGAGGGGAAACGATATTCTCTCGATGTTTTTCCTAAAAAAATAGACGACGCGTCCCATCAATAAAAATTCAACAAATTTGCAAGTAGCCAATAAAATGAGTGGGCGGAGCGATTTGCGGTGACGCACTCGTCAAATCGACGTATAAAATATATTGCTGTTTATTTAAATGTTTTTTTGTCCGCATTCCTTTCATAGACACATATCCAGCAGATGTACTGTATTTAATATTACCTCTACCGATGATAGTATGAAAATATGGCGGAATACGTCAATTTAAATATCAAGGGGGACAGTTTTTGAGGCATTTGTTGTCGTGTTACTTTCAACCCTTTGACCCCCAGGGCACCTACCTCTAAAATTTTAAATGGCAACCCCTATTTCTTTTACAATTTTTGTGTTCCTTATAAAATTCTCAAAAAAATAATGCAGTTTATGTAGAATTCTATAAGAAACACAAAAATGGAAAAAGAAATAGGGGTAGGTGCCCTGGGGGTCAAGGGGTTGAAAGTAACACAACAACAAATGCCTCAAAAATTGTCCCCCTTGATATGTAAATTGACGTGTTTCGCCAAATTTTCATACTATCATCGGTAGAGGCAATATTAAATACTGTTCGTTTTCAAATTGTCATCCTGTATACAACATACAGTGTTACATTTTTTTTGAAAAATATTGTAGTGATAACCCCTATGCGCGTTCCTGGTGAATCTGTCGACCCTTTTTTAGCATTAAAATATGTTGCACTTTTATAGTAACTTTTGCCCTCAATTTTTTTTTCTAAATCGCTAAAACACTTGTAAGAAAATTATAATAAATCGAAAAAAATCAAGACTAACTCCCTGTACCTAAGACGCAAAGCAGAATGGAACCTATGTTGATATAAGAAATAAATCTTATTTTTACGTGTGGAATCTCACCACGAAAGATGGTATATTTTCTTTTGAAACACCCTTGTAGAAGAACTTACAAAAATATAAAATTTTCAGTTCTTCTAAAAATAATCTATTTTTCCGTATGAATGAAAGAGTGTGTCTATGATACAAAGTGAGTCTTATAAAAATAATTTCTAATGCAGTAATCTTTTTTAATATCTAGCAATAAATTGTAAACAAATAATTTCTTAACATCAGCTTTTGTTTAATTGGTCTATTCAAAACACATTCAAGTTATTTTAAAATATTATTGCTATATAATCTGAATCTCTATTCTATGTAGTTGAAGATTTAAAAGCTTACCTGTTATTATGTTCTTTAGCTATATTCATCTTTTTATATTCTATCATTATTTGTTTACACACATATCTATACCAATGTACAAATACCCTATTTGTCAACCTAAAGTCATAAATATCTTCAGCGACTTGTCTTGATCTCATACAATCCAACTTAAACTGAAATTACCACATCAGAGTTATGAAAAAAATAAAATAAAATGTTTACCTACCTCTTTCCAGATATTAAAACTATGTCTCAGTAATTTATAGTTTTTATGTTCGTCAGCAATTTGGTACTTGATTTCGTACTTTGACTCCACATACCCCATCCAGCCTTTGAAAGCTTTTAGTTTTTCTTTGTGCAAATAATGACTAGTAGCTAAAGAATGATTGTACAAAGAATTGTGATAATTTGAAATCAGTTTCTGAAAACACTGTTTGACTAGTAAACAGTTGTAAAAGTGTTCAGCTTTTTTTAGTTTTTGTTCAAATATTTCTCTATTTTTTTGCCTCGTTTTTCGCAGCTCTAAATCTTTCCTGCGCTGTTCATTAATTAATTCTAAATTCTTTTTACGTTCTTCTTCTTCCAAGACTCGTTTCTTCTCAATTGCTTCTTCTAAAAGTCTTTGACGCGCTTCTTCTAAAACTTTTTTTCGCTCTAAAATCATGTCTCTATATTTTGCCCTTTCAATTGCCCTATGCTCCATGTGTTGTACAAACTTCGGCGCTTTTTGAGAACTGATCATTATTTGATCTCTTTCCTCTGATGATTTTACCAAAGGAGCTTTCTTTAACAGGGTTTCTGAACAGTTGGCAAATATATTTTTTATTTGGAATTTAGTGTTTTCTATTGATTTTAACAGGTCTTCGCGGATAATTCCTAACTTAAGCTCGCTGATAATTTTTTCTTGTTCCTCCAGTTTTGCTTTTTGACTGTTTATAATAAATGTTTGTGCCTTATATCTATTTTGGAAATTGCTGTGGGGCGAAGAAATTTGTTTTGTCTCTTTTTTTGACTTAACTTTAGCAACAGATTTTTTTTGATAATGCTTTAGATTGGTAATGAATTTTTCCAATGTTGGTTTATCAGTAGATTTTTGTTTTATGTTGTTTTTCCATTTATGAAAGTAGATTTTAAGAAGAGCCCTCTCAGGTGGTAGATCTTCCTCTTTTATAGAAAGTACGGAGTTATCCAATGAAGAACTTGTGCTGGAATTACGATTAAGCACCTCACTTTCTTCCGAACTATCTATAATATTAAGTGGCGTCTTCTCAACTGTAGTGAGATTTTTGAAGAGAGGGCTTTCTAAAACTGTATTTGCAAATGCCTCTATATTTTCACATATAAGGGTTCTTAAAAGAATAAAATGGTATATTATAAATTTATAAAGTAATTGATTTACCTTTTGGCCTCTAATATAATATTTTTACATGGCGATAATGAATGAGATATATCTTTAAATTCCATGGAGATTGATATTATTTTAGCGCATAAAGGTGTAAAATATATTGTCAAAATGACATTTATATAAGTAATAGAAGTATTAATAAGTTAAAGTAACTGTACCTCTTGTTTACTGTTAAAATATCGATCAAACTTTTAGCACAGCTTTAAGTGCGCGAATTTAAATTTGGCGGTGTTTTTTATTCTTCTTTTATGTTTAACGGTCTTAAGTTGCCGGAGCAAACTTTAACATTATAATACAAATCTGTGGTTGTGGTTAAGGTCATATTATAAGGGCGTATATTGCCAATCTATCAAAATCAGCTGTTACAGCTAAGTTCATTATAGTTTTGGTGTACCTTTTTAAGAATAAATAAAGTAATAAATAAACTTAAAGTATTATGCTACAAGATTTTTAAATTCTAAAGATATTATATAAATATGGGTGCCCTGCTTTCAAGTCGTCAAAGAAACGGTGTAGAAGAAGTGGACGTGGTGGTAAACCATGCATACAAATATCCACCTAGATCAGGTACAAATATCATCTAATTAACATATAATTACATGAAATATACGCGTTTTCTTCTAGCTATTGTATTTATAACATATTTTTCTTTGTTATCTTAAATATTAGTAAATATATATTTGTGAAATTGGTTAATATTGTTCAGAACTAGGCTACACCGTCAAAAGCTAGTTTTATCAGTGATTTGTTTGTAGGAAATTATTTTGGGAGTCATTTTATAATGGGAGGAGAAAGATTTGATACTCCCCAACCTGAATCTTATCTATTTGGAGAAAATTCAGACTTAAACTTTTTGGGTAGTAGACCAACTCCGGTAATTTCATTAACTATTTTTATAACATAGTTTGTTAATTAAATTTTTGTTTTAGTTTCCATATCCTCCTCCTCAACCAAACGATCCAACAAAAACCTTAAAATGTTTGGTAAATATTCGAAAAGAATCATTGAGATTTGTAAGAGCGTCCAGCGAATATAATAAAATTAGTTTAGATAAAAACACTATAGACGATGTTGAGTTAGGGACTAACACTAATTTTAATATTGAGTTTATTTTTGATTGTGATGTGAGGTGTGCAATAACTATATATTACTTTTGCACTGAAGAGATCACAGCAACAGGTGTCACGTAAGTTTTGTTAATTTTTTTATTCTTTAGGATATTTGTTTATTTTTTAATTTATTAGTTATGTTCCAAAAGACCCTCTGTTATGCTCTGAAACATTTCATTATAAAAAAGGGGCAAACCAACAGTTTTGTCAACCAACTCATTCTTTTAATCCAGCAAAGTATTCTGAAGAAGAACTGTTGTATGATGTCGATAGGGAGATTATTCCTATAGTAGTTCATTGTGTAGCTGAAGAAGGACCAGAAGGTTAACAATTGCCCGAATATTTATATAAGAATTTAATTAAAACTCTTGATATTTCAGATATGAGACAGTCTCATACAACTATAGCAACTATAGAGAAAATTGCTGAAGGAATTTTTCTTTTAAAGGCTCTCAAACAAAAACTTTGGGTTGATGGCTTATGTTATCTTTTGCAAGAGATCTATGGTATTGAAAATAAGAATAATGAAAAGGTTTAAAATTAATAGTATTTTTGTATATAAAAGGTTTATAATCTAAATGATTCCAGAACGCTGGAGATGACGAGACTGATGATAATGGATCTGAATGTGTAATATGTATGTGTGATGTACGAGATACTCTTATATTACCTTGCAGACACTTATGTCTATGCAACTCTTGTGCAGATTCTTTAAGATACCAAGCGAATAACTGCCCTATTTGCAGAGCACCTTTTAGGGCTCTTCTACAGATTAGGGCTTTGCAAAAGAGCATCAATGGTAGCTTGGCTCCCATTGGACCTCCTGATGTTAGTATATTGTTTCTTAAAGATGAATTTGTATTTTCTTTAAATATTTTTAGGCAAACTGTGACAATATTCCACCAGGGTATGATGCAGTATCTCTTATAGAAGCTCTGAATGGTCCTTGTCAACCTAGACAGCCCCCTTCAGCTATGCCTGACCTAGTTGAAACTCCTGAAAATGAGCATGCTATTCAAGCTGCTCATATTCTAAATAGGCATTCTCCACCATCAAAAAGAGGCAGTCAGCCAGCTACTCCTGAATATCCTTCTAAAAGTAAAGCAAAGAATAATTAAATTTACGTTTTTATTTTGATTTCTTTTTTATTTTAGCTATGACAACAATATTAACAAACAGATCAGAAGAAGAGCATCCAAAAGAGACACAAAAATGTCCACTTTTGAGGGATGAGAAGGAGGTAGTTATTAGAAGTAGACAGAAGACAAAGGACCAAATAAAATTGGTAAATGAAAAGGAGAAAGAAGAGGTAAGTTTAATTATAAAAGTAATTGTGGTAAGTATTACAAAAATAATATTCAGGGTTGTTATGTTTTAGATATTTTATTTATAAACAAATATTCTAAATGTATTTAGGCATCTAAAATATTTGTTTTTAAACATAATGCAAAACACCTATTAAAACTCCTACTTGTAGGGAGCGCCACCTATATATTCTCTTTATTAGATATTCTTTAACTGTTTTGAAGAGTAATAACTTTTTGTCTGTACCTGTTTAAGCTAAGAATGAAAAAATTAAATTACCGCTGTTTTTAGTAAAAAAGGTATCTAAAAAAAAGGTATCTTTCACTAAACATTATCTTTTAAGTAAGAATTTTACATAGAATCTTTCAAGTCCTCGGTGGCCGCGTGGTTTAAAGCGTTAGGTCTTAACGCTGCTATGACGTTAGAGCCGTAGTAAGGCAGGTTCGAATCCTAGCCAAGGCGACTTTTTTTTAATCGTTTTTTTTGTAATTTTTACATATTTATTTTTACTTTTTATATATTTACTAGTTGAAGCTTGGCGCATCCGCCATGACATAAGGAAAAAAGATACTTTTTATTTTTTTAATTAAATGAAAAACAAAAAATCCGACGACGACAGTTTTTAGAAAAGCCAATTAGCTGTCTTTTAGTAAAAAATCAACTTTCTAGAGCAAGTCGTTACTTCAGTAGAGATGACACAGATAAACATAAGCATTTTGGTACGGAACCCTTCGTGCGCGAGTCCGACTCGCACTTGACCAATTTTTTTTGTTTAGCATTTTAAGTTTTTAATTTTATTTCCTTTCAGAATGTCGATGAAGACAGCGAAGCAGAAAAATTGTCTCCTCTACTACAACAAAAAAGGGAAAGCCTAAATCGAGGCACGGAGCTAGCTCTACGCATGGACGACGTAGTGGAACACATCGACGGTGACGAAGTCGACGAGCGCTTTGAAAGGCGACCGGTACCGTCAGCCGGCGAAGACTCAGATTACTACACCCCCGACGAACCCGGTCCTACATCCACAGGGTTATACGAAGGCAGTGGGGCACCCAGTTCCACGGAGAGTACGCCTCACAAGTTGCCCGGTACTCCGCTGAGCCTGGCCAGTGCTAAGAGCAGCGGGGAGAGTGTTACGAGCGGTGGCAGTACTCGCCATCTGTTGGCTATACACGGAGGTACACCGGCGACCGATCGTCCCGTTCATGTTTAAAAGCGTTCTGGTTAGAGTAATATTCGGTTTACACAGGGGTAAATTGATAGGTAGAGCGGAGATTTTATAAAATTTATTGGTAATTTTTAAGATTTTCATTAAATCTGCTGTCTGTGTCTGTATATTTATGAAATTTGGTATATAGACGTAAAATCAAATTTTGAAAACAACTTTTGACAGTATTTTGTTTCTTAAACCTAATTTTTGCTTATGTAAAGAGGATCTTTGTAATTTTACGTCATCCGAGTTGTTGCCAACATGTGAAAATATTCATTTTTGTTACTTGGAATGTTAAAATAGTACTACAAGTTTTTTTTTTCAATAACAGTAAAAAGTTATGTAAAAAATGTCTCTTGGTAAAAATCGATACGCGCAACCGTTTTCAAGATATTTGGAATGGAAATAGTCAATACATGTCATTGACAAAAATGTTGGCAATATCCAATGACGTCCACTCCCATTTACTTCGGCTGTATTCCGTTGCAAAACCAGGCGAGCCAGACCGGTAAAGAGCGGTTCCTGAAAAACATTGGTTTGATACGGAACGGTTTGGTAAAATACTGGAAACGTCAAATGTTGACGTTTTTTAAATTTCAATACCTCTATTATAAAATTTATCTTTTATGCATTTTTAATGTACCTATTCTATGCTTTTACGTTTGCTTCTTTTTTTCAATGGAGTTTAATATTGAAAAGTATTTATAGTCTGTCCAACGAGAAGATCCTTGACAGTGATAGATGTGTCTGTCATTTTAATTTCAAAGTAGTTTATTTTATTTTACAAAGAAATAAGTTGGTACAACTGGAACGCATAGCGATATATTTAAAATTTGATTGACAAGATGACAAGTGATTATTTCAAAATATTGTGAAAAAAACTGTATAAAACTGAAAAAATGTAATCGAGTTATTTTATTTAATAAAAACGGTATGTGTTAATACAAAACAAACAAGAACAAGACACTACATACCAAAAAAATATAAAAAAGAACTATTATTTACTTTCAAGCTTTATGAAACAACCCGCATTTATGATTATATTTATCAATATAACTTATGTACAAATACAAATTTGTAATATTCCATAGGTATAAATAAAACAACATAGGTAAATACAACAAACTATTTTATTAATAATAACACCTACCAAATTTTATACCTTAAAGGTTGATTAATTAACTTTAATCTTAATTTTTTTAAACCAGTACCTTTTGACATTATTTTCCTGCAGTACTAAAATCCATTATTTACCTATCGTGTGATGTCGATATTTTACAGCTACTCCCGTTTTTAGTATGTGTTTAGTTTGATCCTTATATACGAGATGCACTTATCTACGACGAAATGGTATACAAACTTTATCGATGGCAACTTCATTGGTGTATAAGACTTTCTGCCTGGGCAGCGTGTATTAACCATAAACTGTGCTCTGGGTCTGCAGTTAATTTTCACTCGATTTTTCCTCCACTTGACTTCAAAAGACACAAAACCGAGCACAAAACACACGTAATAATACGAATCAAAATGCATCATCTTCCAAAACGCAGGGTATTTAACAAAAGTTGACACAAAATTATAACCTATAATTTGGCAAGACTTTGACAAGCGTCAAAAATGACAAAAATCTAAAGGCGAGTTCATACGCATCGGCGTCCGTTTGTCGTTCATCGTTCCGTCAAACCAATAAAATTGAAATACGATCTGTCATTTTTTAAATAAACCAATAAAACTGGTTAAAAACAAGAAGACACGACGCATGACGGATTTATATTTAAACCCATCCATAGATAACTTAAAAATTATTAGAAACTTTTTTTAGTAAAATAAATAGATTGGTACGGGACGTCATCTGCTTTTCTTCTGTCATCGTCTGTCGAAATCTTACCTGAGAAAAAAAACAGAGTATAATTAATAAACTGTTAAACTCATTAGACAGTTCAAGTGAAGATTTGCAGGTCCAATATTAAAACAGATCAATAATAAATAAACAAATCTAATCAATATTTATATTTTTATAGCTTACAAAACATTCACAATTACTTGTCTTGTTTTTCATGTTTTCTTTAAGTGTTCCTGACTTTAAGAAACAATGGCTGCATGATAAGTTTAAATGGTCCTAAAAAGTCATTGTATTTAGTTAATAAAATTTATTTACTTTTACTGCCTACCTCCATTGCTTTTGGATGTAAATACAAAATATTATTACAAATTTTAGAAATTAAATGAGAAATTTCACTCAAATGAGAATTTCACTCAAACTTCCAATATTTTTTGCTTGATTTTTGTCACATAAATGACATTGATTGACAAACAAAACCAGAAAACCCAGCCTTCTCGCGCTGGTTAGTTTGGTGACAGTTATAACCGAATTTTTCAGGAACCGTGTTCCATAATAACTTTGTAACAAAACTTTCAGGAAACTGATAGAAACGGAACATAAAACCACAACCAAGGTAAGCAACGGAATACACCCTTCATGTTTTATGTTGAGACGGCAGCTCGACGTGACGGTGACGGTACGTTATAGTGGGAATCGCGCTTTACTCGTAGCGATTTTTATTTTTACTCTTCGAAACAGCAACAGCTAAAAAAATGACTAAAATATTGACATCGTCGAAGTTTCCCTAATACAATTCGGACAACCCTGTATATAAAAATAATTAAATATAGAATTTTCTTACGTTTATTTGATATTTTAAGATTTTACAAAGTATTACAAAAATGCCATTACCATTTTCGAAGGTAAAGCCTTATGGTAAACCATAAACTACATTATGACTGGTAAGTTGAAGTATTCTAAGCAATATGACATGACATGATAACAATATAATATTTATTATTCTACCGCTGTCTTCAATAAACATATACAGGGTGTCTCAGATTTTAATCGGGAAAATTTAATAGACGATAGAACTTGCAAAAATAAAACAAAAAGTTCATATCAAGTTGTAAGATTTAAAGCTTCCTTTTCGAGATACAGGGTACCATTAGAATACCAATTATAATATTATTTACCAATTATAATATTATTTACCAATTAGAATTTAATTTTTTTCGCAAGAAGTAAGAAAGATAGACAAAAAAGTGAGGAGACAAAAAAATAATATTTTTAATTACTAAATCCAAAAATAATATTAAACTTCTAAAAAAGCAGTGGCGTGCCTACTTTTTCCTTTAAAATAATTTAACAGTGATGCCCCACCGCCGCCCCTGACCATTAAACTTAAATCTAAATACATCAAATTAAGTTCCATAGTAAGTATTATAAACGGATCAGTCGATTATATCAAAATCGATTAAATAGTTTTTCAAATATCTTAATTTTTTTTTCTTTTTTAAGTAACTTTAACACCCTGTATCTCGAAAAGAAAGCTTTAAATCTTACAACTTGATATGGACTTTTTGTTTTATTTTTGCAAGTTCTATCGTCTATTAAATTTTCCCGATTAAAATCTGAGACACCTTGTATAAATAAAAAAGGCGAAATCAGTTTTTAGTTTAAAGTGAGACTTGCTATATATTTGTTATGTTATTTTTGAATACTTGATTTCAGCAACCAATAGTCTTGATTTTTGGATATAACCATATAGATATGTTTTTTACACCTGTGTATACCGATATTTTAGTGATAATATAATCATGCATTTAATAACATTATCTCATAAAACATATGTTAGATATTGCGTTAGTTTTAAGATTGTTAATTATTCTGAAAATTTATAAAATAAGTCAATCTGGAAAAAATTATAATAACAAAAATAATGTTTTAGATTTTTGTTTTAATAAAAAAAAACTGTAATATATAATTTAAAATATTTTTTTCGTATTTTAGATATGTTAAATAAATTATAAGGCTAAAAATAAAAAGCTTTCAGTAAAAGCTAAAATAGAATATTATTTCAATATGATGCTGGTGTTTGGATTAAAAAACTTTTGATCTAAAAACGTACATTTTCTGAATTTCTAAATAAATTAAATCAGTAAACATGTAACATCATGGTTTACACTTCATTTTTCGTTTTTACATTAATAATATCTCTATCTTTTCGTGGAGCTATAAATATTTCATATACTATTTTAATTACTCTTGATTTCATTCCTATTTACAAATATATGTATTAAACAAAATTTAATGCTTATTTGGATGTTTTTAATTATGATATTGATATTGGTCTCATCAGATGTATAATTATGAAATCATTTATTTCATATTATAGTATTTTATAAAGTATTTGTTTAATAAGACAAAAGTCAAATAGAAATCTGTAAAAAAAATTAAATTTATTTTCCATACTTATAAAGTTAAATTATATATTTTTCAATACTCAGTTGTGATAATTCTATTGAAAATTTGAAAAAAGTATATAAGGAATATGATCTAAAATATTTTTTATTAGTTTTATTTTGTTATCTTATATTTTACACACAAATTTTTATATTAGGTTTAATATGGGATGCGATTATACGTATATTATTCCTGATTAAATAAAATATTTATTATACTAATGTTGTACACTTATTTATAATTCCTGTTGAATGAATAATAAATAATTTGATGAGGACTGACGATGGCGCCATCAGCCGCAACCTAAAAAATGAAGGATAATTACAAACATTACAAACAGGTTTTTCAAAATTAAATTTCACCTTGGTGATGTTATTGTCGATGATACATTAGATGACATAATAGAATACTGTTTTATATATTATATGGTCTTTATTACATTAAACACACAGTGATTAAATACATGGATTTAATTTTTTGAACAAATTTTTAATTCAGCGCATTCACCATTTTGTCAGACATTTGATTTTCTGGATCTGGATACAGGATTGTCAAGGTCTGGCTTTGAGTGCCGATTTACGTGTGTAAGAAGCGTATAGACTCAGTACAATAAGATGTATTGAACAAAGAAAGAAGCGCAAGTATTTTCCCACTCCTAATCAATATCCAAAACGTTCTATCCTTCTTTAATCTTTAGTGTTTGGTTTGGTTTGACAAGTTTTTGACAAGTTTTATGTAAATTTTTAGTAAATGATGTCTAGAGATTTACCTTGCTAAAGTTATTATCGATTGTCATTCCTCAGCCGTCTTTGACGCCGTTTTTTTTATCATATGGTATGTTTCAGTCCAATTTCGTAGATCTTGTTAATGTTACAATATTATACTAAAAAATATTATTCTATGAGATTCTTTGGTAGTATAATATTATACATATTATGTATAAAGTATAAAGTTGAAGTAAGAGAGAGAACTTTTAGAAATCGATTTTTTAGATAGGATATAATTGGAATCGTAATAAAGAAAAAATCTATTCACATAATATGTGAGCAATTTTATTTTTACCAGCGTCAAATGCTCGAAACAGATGGAAATAATTAATGTTTCAACTAAAACCGACATTTTTCTTTCATTTTCTAATAGCAAGCTTAATTATGTAATCCCTTTCTCCATTTATCTTTCCAGACTATTGTCAATTAGTTTTTGACAGCTTTGCGAACGAGCCGTCTTTTATGTGTGATAAATAGTCGTTGAAATATTTCTGGCGTCTATCCATGTCTCTGTCCATGTGTTTAAACTTGTGTGAAATAAGTTTATTTTGATGGCTTTTCTAAATTATTTCTATTTATTTAATGTGCTAAAATAAAGACATAAATATATCGATAAATGATATTATAATAAAGATTCTAGAAGAAAATAGGTACTATTTTTTATTTTTTACGTTTTAACGAGGAATCTCCCCACGAGAGATGGCACATGTTTTTTTGAAACACCAAGTATAGGTAAGTAGCTTTATAAGTTTTATAATAAAGGTTTTCTCTAGGTATCTGTTATCTCGTAATTTCAAAAGACACTGCCAGTTTACGCCAAACTTAAAAAGCAAAACGAATTCTATCCTAACCATTGTTGTCCCATTTCCTTAAAATTATATCACCCCTTCTCTTGGGAATCCAGTTTTATTTCGGGGTCTTTTCCACTTCTAGAACCAATTTTCGAATTCACCAATCGAACTATCCTTTACCCTAATGCATTGTAGCTTTGGAATTTTGGAATTAATTTTAAACGCTTTTATCAGCTATCAGCTAAGGAAATAATCTTTGCCATGTTAATATAATTTTCTGTTTTACTTAATAAAGTAATAAGTAGATAATGCTTTATTTATTTTGAAAAAAAAGATTAAAACTAATTAATCAGAAAAATATGTTAAAGAAGTACATATACGACCAGGCAAGCCTGACAGAAATTGCAACTGAAACTTTATAAGAAGACTAAACATTTTTTTGATTTCTTCATTTTGATTTTAAGTAAATATATACCTATTACGAGAATAGACAAGTATAATACTTTATTTTCTGAAGGAAATTCTATTTTTTTTTTAGAATTTAGAATGAATGGGAGGGGGGTTAATCATTGTGACCTTACAGATATCTATTGTGTCCCCCTTTCTTGAGTTATAACTCATCATACAGTCCCAGGACTTTGACAAAAGACAGTATCTGGGACGGTTTTATAGAGGGTAGTTCTCTATCTCCAATATCAGTCGTGCCAAAGTTCATGGCACGAATGGTTGTCGTCTCGTCGCACTCAGTGATGAGGTGTACTGGTGTTTTCCCATTTTCCCCACAGAATCTGCATTCGCCGTTTTCTCTTAGTTGCAATCTACTGAGGTATTCATTGAGGAGATATTGTTTTTACTTAAATCCAGGAAGATCTTTGATTTTTCTTGATCGTAAGCCCTCAGAAACTTCTTCGAGTGTTTGACCGTTGTAAGATTCCCATTACAGGTTGCGGATGGAGTCTTCCAAGTTCTTGAGTTCCGCTTTGAGTTGGTTTTACCACTTGAAAAGCAGAACGGTTCTGGTCCAGTTAATGGAGTGTTCGCTCCTTTTCTAGCTAGATCATTTGCTTTTTCATTGCCTTCTATCCCTTGGTGAGCAGGCACCCAGAGTAGGAGGACTTTGTTTTCTTTGCCTAATTTATTCAGCTTCTCTGTGCATTCTTTGACCAATATCGAATTGATTGATACTGAATTGATCGCTTTTAACGCTGCTTGACTATCAGATAAGATGGCTATTTCTTGTTTCCGATAGTTCCTATCTAAGATAAGTTGTACGCATCTTTCGATAGCGTAGATTTCTGCCTGTAGGATGCTAGGGTAGGTGCCCATTTGTTCGGAGTATTTAGTTCCCGGCCCAAATACTGCGATCCCTGTTCCCGCATTGGTTTTGGAAGCATCAGTATACCAAGTTATGGTATGGTCTTTTAACTGCTGGACAGACGTTTTTCTCTTCCAATCCTCTTTATTCTTTAATACTACATTGAGATGTTTCTGAAAGTTGTACATTCTTGGCATATCGTCCACTGGGAGTTGCAGAAGTGGTATTTCCTTTTTGAGGGTGTTCCATGCCCCTGATCTGACAATTCTCTCAGTACTGATTCCATTAGTGACCATTCTAATCATTCGTGGTATTGGCATATCTACCGATGACAATGTGCAGTGGTGTTAGGTCTAGAATGACCTCCATTGCTGCTGTTGGGCAGGTTCTCATGGTTCCTGTGATGCAAACGCATGCCATTCTCTGGACTTTGCACAGGTATAGCCTTGCCCTCTTTATCCATCAGTAACTATTAAATTCCTTCACTAATTTGTTAGTCACTTGGCTTTCACTAGATGTAGTTATTGTTCTAAAAGTAACCTCGGGTTGCTAGCAATAAAACCTTGGTTGTATTGGTAGCGACTTGTAGTTCTAACACACAATGTTGTTCTAACAGTAAGAATTTCCTATACGATATAACAAACGACAATTAAAAAAAACCTTTTCTGACTAATCTCAACGGTCGTCTACGTTAATCTCAAGTATTTTTCTGTGATATACCAAAGCTCGAAGGTCCGAATGACCGAAACGCTACTCGATGGACATTGATTCTGCCCGTCGGACGTAGGAGGCCTCAGGCCGGTCGTCGTCGCCTATTGGAGGACCGGACATTATCGGACGACCATTTTTCAAATAAGACGTTTAAAGAAACTTGTTCCCGGCAACGTAATGGACCGTTTAATGAGCAGTTCGCCGCCGCCGGTGGCCAAGGGAGCGGCAAATTGAATCGCGGCGATTCGACGTCTTCTTATCAGAAGGCGGCGCTGTTGCCAATTTGCTATTTCGAAAAAAAAAACTGATAAAATTAACCACTAAGAGCAAATGTAACTGCTCTTACATAGGATATTTTGATTTAACCAAGAAATAACACTGGTCCTGGGTCCTGGATAAAATTCGGCCATGACACCATTCTTGCTGATTCATATGTAAAATGACTTCTGGAATCCAAATATGATCTCCGTTTTCCACTAACCCGTCTCTAATTAATTTTGTCTCCAAATAATCCTATATGGGTATTTCGCCACTGCAAGAAAATCTACAAAATAAAATAGTTACTTTTTGTAAACACTGCTGCGTTACTCCAACGGAGACTACTTGGTTTACTGATAAACAAATTTACCTAACGAACAAAAAAATGCTTAACGTTTCGGAAAGTTTATCTCTTTCCGTCGTCGGAAGCAAAAAATACAAAGAATAAAGAAAAAACTATTTAAAATATTTAAATGCAACTGTGTGGCCGGTCGTAGCGCAAGCAGTAGTGTTTCGATCTGCGGTACGGGAGATGGGATGGTACTGGGTTCGATCCTCAGGCAGTACGGTTGCTTTATTTATTTAAATAAAAATATTGATTTATCTAAATGGAGCGACCAGCGAGCCGCCAACTCAAGGAAGGCAATGGCAAACCACCTTGAGTATATTTGCCTTGTACAACTTCTTAAATAGTGCCGTTCGGATTCGGCGATAAACTGTAGGTCCTGTGTAATTGTGGAAAACTGATGACACACATTACAAGTACATGCGAGAGGTAGCCGACGCTCTGTATAGAGTATGGCGCAGTAAGAAGAAATGCAACTATTGGAGAACATACTGGAATTTTTTAAAACAAATACGTCCACAAAAATCGTTCCTTCCAAGCCATCTTCCATGCATCCAATGCAGCAGTGTTTACAAAAAATATCTATTTTATTTTGTAGATTTTCTTGCTGTGGCGAAATACCCATATAGGATTTCTTTGGAGAGATGAATTCGCCACATAGGTATAGACGTTTTTTATAAATGTATCTATACTGTTAAGGTAAACGTACCTATTATCGGCACCTTAAGCACCTTGCGTACCAGAAGCACCATTTAAATACAAAATATGCTGTGCTTTTATTATCGGCATACTAAAATAAATTAATGTTCCAATTTTCGGCACACATAAGATCCGTTTATCGGCACAGAATTGCATGATTTGAATCTTATTAACTAAATACTAATATTAGGGACCTATTTAGTCTTTAATAAAATATGATAACATTCATTTCATAAAAATATAAAAATAAAATAAAATAAAAATACGTTTTTTTTAAATAAACGTAAAATATTTGGTATTTGGCATGTATATCCGCCCAAAAACAAAATAACGGCGAACTGAACTTTTTGGGCGACTAGCCAAGGATGAAATATATTCGCGATGTACTCAAAAAATATTTCACCGGTCATCCATCCATTTTCTGACTTTCCGATACCCCAATGTTCTGGTTTCTGGTACTTTTTCGGCAACTGATTTGGGAACTCTTTTGTAATTAAAAACGATCATTGATGGTAAAATTTGACCGGAGGCAGTATAAGTTACCAAAGTCGTTAGACCCTTCTTCTCATTATTACTTACAAATGAGTAAACTGTTCTATCACCCTTTCTAACTAAAACTTTGTCTCCTTTGGGACTGAGGAAAAAAGCCGTTTCGTCGCAATTAAATACGCGACCAGGGTCATCAGTTATACGAAGATAGTTTGACTCCTCTAAGAAGGCCCCTACTTCTATGAACCACTGACTGATTTTCTGTAAGGCTGTTTCTTGCAGATGAGAGGTTTTGAGAAATCCTTGGAGCCAGTTCTTGATGCCTTCTTAGAAACAATTCGTACCATTTACGTCCAGGCCTATTGTCTGTGAAATTATTCGGCCTATTCAGTTCTTTAACCAATAGCTGAACACTATCTAACAACATTGTTTTTGTTGCAGGAAATCCACAGGCTGCAATCCGAAATAGCCATGCTACCAATACATTTTCTTCTTCTTTTGTTAGTATGGTTTCTGGTCCACATTTCTTCTCTAAAGCCGTTCTGCCTTTAACTTTATCTTGTAGGGTCGACCTGGGTACTTTAAATAACTTACTAGCTGCTTTAAATGGCATTCCAGATCGAATGGCGTTAACAGCTTTATTTAGGTCTTCCACAGAATAGAGAATCCGTTTTTTCTTTTCCATTTCCATTGTCGTGTAATTTAAATCTGAAAAAACTAGATTTCTAATTATCGGCACGTGAGTGTATGTATTATCGGCACTACTATTATATCAAAGTTAGGTTTAATTCCAATAAAAAAAGGGATGCCGAAAATTGGTGTAAAATCTCGTGGCTTTATATTCCATAGAATGACCAAACACTTCTTTTGGTACGTTAAGGGCTAAAGACAAAATCAACCTAAATACTATTCAATGTGTATAACCAATTATCGGCATATCTGCCAAAAATTGGACCATTCACTAATATTTATGTACCCATTATCGGCACCCATTAAATAACTCATAAAAGCTACAGAAAAGCAGTTTTTGACAAGCAATTAATAAATATAATACATCCTAACTATATGAGACCCAATTGAACGCTTATAACAAACATTATTCAGAAATTATAACACAATATAGCTTACCTGTTTCTTAACACTTACACTAAGAAACGCTTTATACAAGAGTTTAGCGCAAACTGACCACATCTGACCAGTATATTTTTGACAGTAACAAATGAGTAACAATTAACCGATTTTGACAAACAGTTGTTCGACGGTGACGACGCGTAGATAAAGGTTCGCTGAAGGTCTTGAAATACTTTTATTTAATAATCTTGCCATAGATATCTTATTTTTTGAGATTATGTAGAATTAGAGCCGATAATTGGGGTGGTGCCTGGATAATAGGTACGTTTACCTTATTCGAGAACACACTGGAGTTTTTAAAACAGATACTTCTACAAAAACCGTTCCTTCCAAGCCATCTTCCATGCATCCAACGCAGCAGTGTTTACAAAAAATATCTATTTTATTTTGTATATTTTCTTGCAGTGGCGAAATACCCATATAGGATTTTTTTGGAGAGATGAATTCGCCACATAGACAGGTATAGACGTTTTTTATAAATGCATCTATACTGATACTTAGTTTAATCAAAAATTCAGGTTTTGTTGTAACAATGAGTCTTATATATTTGTAAACAAGCTCTTGCAACAATCATGGAATGGAAAGGTCGTAGTAAGTAGGTAGTACTACAAAAAGTTGTAGTAAAATTTGCTTATGGTTGGTGTAGTAATTGAAACTGTTGTCGGGCAGCTTGTGACAATTTTATAAAGTCATCATCAGGGAAGAGAGAAAATATGACGGACACGTGCGGGACGTGTATATGTGTGGAATTTGTGACCGTGCTGTAAAGGCAAATCAAACATCAATTGAGTTCTCTACATGTTGTGCTTGGGTCCACAGGGGATGTTCCGGTCTCGAAAAAGTGGATTATGACAAAATTGTTGTCGAATTTCGGAAAAATAAGAAATTAGATTTCACTACAATTTGTAGTTTTTGTTAAGATCGAAGATCTCATTTTTACTACAATGGAACGGAATTATTGCCGACATGCAGATTACATTTTACTACAATCTTTGAGGAATTATTACTTGATTATTTTCATATTTTAATTAAAATCTTCTACAAAACTATGAATTATATATAATAATAGCTCCCGTATATAGCGTTTGACGCCTTGGGAGTAGCAATAAGGTACAGCTTGCCATACTAGAGCCGTTCGGTATACAAGGAAGGTAATGTGGCTAGCACTACGCTTCAACCGCCTATTATTACCTCAGGATTGTGATTCTCAAGTAATCATTTAAGGCTGAGTCGACCTAGGTACCCAAACTATTTTTATTTTAATAAAAATAGTCAGCTGATGAAATGCTGGGTGTGGGATTCGAACCCACTACCTTGAGATTGGTAGACGAAAGCCTGTACATCTACGCCACCGGGCACCTTCAAAACTATGAATTAATTATAATATTTACTATTGTTTTATAGTTGTAATGTAATGTAAATATGTAAGCAATTCAAAACTATGAATTGCTTCTCCAAAACACTTTAACTATAAAACAATAGTAAATATTATTGTTACAATTTGTATTTGGCCCATATACCACTACAGTTTGCAACAAAGTATTTTACAATTGTAGCATTATTTACAATATTTTTTCCGTGTACTAGCTGTAATAGTCAAAATTCCTTACTTTCTTTACCATAACGGTCGAAAAAGAAAATGGTATTAAAGATGGCTTGGAGATTAAGGCCGCTGTCATTTGATTGTAAAATTCTATTGGACACGTTATCGATCGTCATTCGAAACCTAGAATTTTAGAATTTAGAATGAGTGGGAGGGGGGTTAATCACTTCGACCTTATTCGAAACCTAACTAGACGCTGTTTTTATTTGCAAATCATTAAAACATTATCCATATACTGTTCCAATCTTATATACTTGCTTTGCTTATTGTTTTACAAATCCTTTACAAATAAAATATTAAAAATGTCAAAATTGTCTTTGCCGCTTAGTAAATTTACATCACTTGGCAACCATGCCCGTCCGAAACTCATTAAACCGGACCCGATCTCCCAGCTCTTATCTCTTATCGGTCGGCTTCCGTTTTTATCATCCAGAGCCTTGGTCCATTCCTCTATTGTTGCAGCCCGTCTCTTCTCATCCCTATCTCCACTACCATCTCCCCCGCCACCGTTACCCCCCATTTTTATCTGGGAAATGGTCCGCGGCGGGGTCCGTTTCACGCTGTTCGAATTCGCGCGAGCTTTTTTTATCGGGGTTGGTGGCAATGTCACCTTGAATACTAGGCTATAGAACTTAAGGTTAACGGAGGCGTATCGGTATGTTTTTTAAGTAGTCGTAATAGTAAACATGTGAAAAATGTCTAAACCTCTGTGGCGAATTCATCTCTCCAAAAAAGTCCTATGGGTATTTCGCCACTCACACTGTAAGAAACTCTACAAATTAAAATAGTTAGAAACACTGCTGCAATTCAATAGTGACTAATTTTAAGCAGAGGCTTACTAGAATAAAATAATAAAAAGAAGAAAATAAAATAATAAAAATAAACAAATTTGACTAATGGACAAAAAAAATGGTTAACGTTAAGTATATTTTTTCCGTCGTCGGAAGCAAAAAAAAAACGAAGAACAAAGAAAAAACTATTTAAAATATCTAAATGCAACTATTCTAGAATACTTTAGTTTTTTTTAAAACAGATACAAAAACCGTTGACGTTCTGTTAAAATGACATTATATCAAGTTAAACTTCAAAATTAACAATTACTACATGATAACAATTACTTATAGGGTGTGTTCCGTTGCTTACCTTGGTTGTGGTTTTATGTTCCGTTTCAATCGGTTTCCTGAAAGTTTTCTTACTACGGAACACGGTTCCTGAAAAATATCGGTCATAACTGTCACCAAACTAACCGCCCGAGAAGGCTGTTTTTTCTAGTTTTATTTGTCAATCAATGTCATTTATGTAAGCAAAATTGGAATAGTCATAAAGCAAAACTGGAAGTTTGAGTGAAATTCTCATTTAATTTTTAAAATTTGTAATAATATTTTGTATTTATATTCAAAAGCAATGGAGGCAGGTTGTAAAGATAAATAAATGTCATTAACTAAATAGAATTACTTTTTAGGACCATTTAAACTTGTCATGTAGCCATTGTTTCTTAAAGCCAGCAACATTTAAAGAAAACATTACAATAAGTAATCGTGAATGTTTTGTAAGCTATAAAAATATAAGTATTGATTAGATTTGTTTATTTATTATTGATATATTTTAATATTGGACCTGCAAATCTTCACTTGAGCTGTCTAACGAGTTTAACAGTTCATTAATAAAGTACTTTTCAATATTAAACTGCATGTGCATTGTATGGGTGGGGGGAATTTATTATCCGCGACCTTATAGCTCTATTGTGCCCCCTTTTTTGAATTACTCGTTAATCAGTCTCAGAGCTTTGCTAAAAGCCAGTATGATGATTACATTTCCATCTCCGATATCAGTCGTACCAATGTTTTTGCACGAATGGTTATCATCTTATCGCGTTCAGTGATGAGGTGTTTTTGATTTCCCCCATTTTCCCCACAAAATCTTCATTCGCCGTTGAGCTTCAATCTATTGAAGTGTTCATCTAGGAGACAGTGTCCTGTTAAAAACCTCGTGAAAATCCGAAGACTGTTCTTACTTGAATCAAGGAAAATTTTGATTTTTCACGGTCGTCAGTCCTGAGAAATTTCTTCGAGTGCTTTAGACCGTTCGCGTTGGAGGATTTCTATTCCAGGTTACAAATGGAGTTTTCCAGGTCTTTGAGCTTCTCTAGGCATTCTTTCACCAACTTTGAATTGATGGTTACTGAGTTTATCGGTCTTAAGGCTGCTTGACTATAGGATAAGATGGCTATTTATTGTTACCGATAGTTCGATTAGATTTCTGCTTGAAGGCTTCTTTAGGCATTCTCTCACCAACTTTGAATTGATGGTTACTGAGTTTATCGGTCTTAAGGCTGCTTGACTATAGGCTAAGATGGCTATTTATTGTTACCGATAGTTCGATTAGATTTCTGCTTGAAGGATGCTGGAGTAGGGGCCAATTGGCACTGAATATTTATGTTTCGACCCAATCTCAAATACTCCTATCCCTGTTCCTACTTTGGTTTTGGAAATATCGGACTGCGAGTTGGTAACTACTTACCTACACTTCGTTAGGTTGTCAAACCATTATAAACTGGTTTAAGTTTGTTCAAACCTTCTTCTTTGTTTTGTCACTGATTCCTTTAAAATAAGGAACTTGGTTTGGTTCATTCTTCATGGTTGTCCTGGTTGACTTCCTTTGTTTGTCAAATTTCTTGAAAGCAAAGTTGTAGGATACCCCATTTCACTGTATGTAATTTCTTTTCTTATTTTTATGGTTTCCTGTGTTAAAGAGTCTTCGGAATGTTTTTTTCTACTCTATTATATAAATTTCTGATTATGCTGTCCTTTACAGATGTCGAATGGATGGAATTATGACGAAGATACTGGCTAGCAGGGGCGCGTATCCTGTAGACTAATAGCAAAATCCTGTTGTTTTGTCATTATACTTGTACGTCTAAGGAAGAAACTACCTGTTGTTCCTGATGATAATGTTGCCAGGTGTGGTAGGAACTCATGTAATATTTATTCAGTCTCATTCTATTAAGGACCGGCACTATACAAGCTGGTACAACGAGGAAGACTGGGGACACAACATAATAGACCTTATAGGTTGCAGAGAAGTTTGGAACATCCTCAAAAGGAATAAATTCCATTCCTCCAACTCTACTAACTGGACCAGGACAATAATGCTTACCAAGTGGAAACCAACTTTAATAGAGCTCAAGAACCCGGAATACTCCATCTGTAAACTAGAATAGGAATCCTCCAACGGTTTAAGACACTCGGATTTACATGCGAGAAAAATCAAAGATTTTTGTTGATCTAAGTAAAAACAATTTTTGGGTTGCCACGGAGTTTTTCTCAATGAACACCTCAGTATATTGAAGCTAAGAAAAAACGGCGAATGCAGATACTGTAGGGAAAATGGGGAAACACCAAAACACCTCATCACTGAGTGCGCCGAGACGACAACCATTCGTGCCATAAACTTTGATACGAC